GTCCCGTTTGTGTCCAAGTCCATGGGGAACATGTCTCTTTTCCTTAAAAATACATGACAGTGTAAAATAAAACTGATGTTTGTTCAGTACACATGATCATTGTGTGTCCTTCCAGTCTGGAAGCTCTTCATTACATCATTTAGCAGTTGCAATTTGCAGTGGATGGAATGCATGTCCTGAAATAAATAATCACAAAACTGCCCTTTGTAGCACTCAAGCTGCCCTGAATTAGCTAATGTTATTTTGCACAAACTCCTTGCAGGCTGAAACAGATCAAGACATTAGTGTGAGTTTGTGAACTTTAACAAGAAGTGTCATCATCATGTAAGTTTTCTCTGTAGCAAAACTATCCAAGGCCTTGAGTTTCAGACCATGTCCTTGCACATAGCAAAATATGTCCTTTTTACAAGAGCACATTGTGATAGAATGAGGAGTAACAGTTGTAAGCAGAGTTGAAAGAGGGGAGATTTAGGTTAGACATTAGGAGGAAATTCTTTACTTTGTGGGCACTGAGACACTGGCACAGGTTGCCCAGAAAAGTTATAGATCTCTGGAAGTGTTCAAGGCCAGACTGGATGGGGCTTTGAGCAACCTGGCCTAGTGGGAGGTGTCCCTGCCCATGCAGGGGTGTTGGAATGAGGTGATCTTTAAGGTTCCTTCCAACCCAAACCATTCTATCCTAGAACTATTCAGGTTGGAAAGGACCCTTGTGATCACTGAGTCCAACCATCATCCCTACTCTACAAATTTCTCCCCTAAACCTATGATTCTCTGATAGAACATACTTTATTCAGTGCACCATTGGCCACAAGGTAAATACTGTGAACTATTGTTCTTGGATCATGTATCTATTTGAGATTTACTATTCCTATTTTGGACCAAAAAAGTGCACTTCTCAACATGTCTTTGCTCCCTGAGCACAAATGAACAGCTGGTTAATAACAGGTTTCTATGTCTATCCATAAGCTTGTTTTCCTAGCAAGACCTCATCTGTTGTCTCTTTCTAGTTCACCAATAGATGGTGTAGAACGTGCTGATAATTGCTTAAAGATTCATTCAGATCATAGCTTTATTGTACATTAGTTCCGGCCTGGAATAAATTATGTAATATGGTAGCAGCTTTTTGATTGGTAAATAGAACAAGGATACATTCAAGAGCCTTCACTAAACAAGGCATTTGACAAAAAGACTTCCTTTTACCTCAGCCGTTCTTTGGTGCTCTAAGATTAAATACATTTTTTTTGGAATGTACAATTGTACACAGCTGTTTGGTAGGAGGAAGTGGGGGTGTCTTCAGTGAAACACATAAGTTTTGCATGCAAAGACTACTATTTTTGTTGTGCATTAATATTCAGGTTTTTTAAAGTGAATCAAGAAGAAGCAAGTGGTATGATGAACAGATTCTTGACAAATTTCAATTCACTGGCAGTGATTTCATGACTAAATTTCCTTGTTTAGTATATAGCCTTCACAATTAGTGGCAATGTGTACCTCTTGGAGAATAAAATCAAAGCAAATATGATGTAGGGATTTTTTTTTCCTTTCCTCTATTATATTATGTTTTTTATTCCTGAATCTCTCGATCATGAAATGTGAAATTAGATTTGCTTGTATTTATCTGCTTGGCATTCTTAAGCTTTATGACATAGGAACTACAAGTTGAATATAAATGTTATTTATATCCATTTAGTACTTCAGTAATATAGTCTTAAGTGTACAAAAGAACCAAACTTACAGAACAGGGTTCAGAAGGAGTGAATAATGAAATGTACATTCTCCTTAGAGGTGAAATGAATAACCACTGTGTAGTTCAGTAATTGTAACTGTCTTGCTCTTATCTGCCTCTCTCCTCTCTGTATTCTGTTAAGGGTAGTCATTCTCTGAGGTGGCAATTTGCACACCTGATCACTGAATGGTGATCTTATAGTGCCATTGGAACGTGAGCAATATGGCAACAGTCCTAGAAAAATGATGGCTGGAGCTTTTACAGTCTCTCTTCTTTCTCTCTCTTTTATTTTTTGTCTTTTTTTTACTCCCTTCTCCTCCCAGAATTACAAACCATATGGCAAACATTGGCTTGAAAGTTCAATTAAAGCAGAAACATTCTTAGCTTCTTACTTTTCAGTCTTTGAGGAAAAATGAAGGAAAGCTCAAATAGGAAAACTGGGCTCTGCCGCAGGTGCTCCTCACTGTCCTGTGCTTAAGGGGAAGGGGGAAGGAACTTCCACGCTTCCTCTACAGGAACAGAATTCAATCATATTATAACATAACTGCATTCAAATAGATCCAAAAAACCCCACATGGTAAGGGCGTATGATAAGGAAATGGGATCTTTAACAAAGGTTGCTTCCTTTTAGTAGGGGCGAGGTCACAACATGTTCCAAGCATCAGAATAAGCCACGAGCTGGTGCCATCCTGCTTCCTGGCCTTCAAGTCACAGGCACATGAAGTTGATGAGGGAATAAATGCTACATGATCCTTCCTCAAGTTAGAAGAGCTGAAGGGTTGACCCGAAGTATTGATAGCTAAGGTTCCCATGCAGCTTATGCCAGCTCTGTGAACCTCTCACCTATGCAGGCATCTTGTTCTGCTGTGTCCCTCATACCTCTCACAGCAAATGAGGGATTGTGGGGGGGAAGAGCTGGTGCAAGGGCCGCCTTCCTGTGAACAGAGGGGTCTGCAGAGATTTCTTCCTTGTTCCTTTGCAATCAAAAGCCTTACAAATTGATACGTCTGAGGGCAGAGAAGACCTTTTATCAAGGACTGGGGCATCTGCTCCAAGCCTGAAGAGGTAGACTAATACCATGTGGCTAGAGGAAGTTAATTTTCATTCATGCTATAGGGAAAAGGATTTCAGTCTTTTCAGGGAAAGATAATCCAGAATATTTTCAAAACAAGAACTTGCTTTCTAACCTGGACCACTTCTGCAGGCAATCTGAAAGTGCTACTATGCCTGAGAATTTTAAATATTGTTTTGTTTTATTTGATCTTTTATGGTAATTTAAAATGCAATAGCACTAATAACCAATAATTAGCAGTAAAGTCCCTTCTCATTGCACACAAGAATGACTGCATGAAGAGTTGTCTCCCTTCTGCTGAAGATTGTTCTTGCTTTCCCCCTCCCCCTATTCTCCTTGATCAGGACACATCCATTGTAAATAATAGTAGACCTGGTGAGAATTGCCTGAACCTGCAATTTCTTTCTCTTAAAAAAGGAAATAACATTTTACTGAAGTCCATTTCTCCTGGCTGCTTGGAAGAGAGACCAAGTTGCTCATGCTGGTGGTTGCTCACACTTCAATCTCTTCTGCTGCTTATAGATTGGCTTTGCTGTTTGTTTTGCACCTTTTGCCACTCTCCCAGTGCCTTGTTAAACATTTTATGCCAGATTGATGAATAAGTAATTGATGTCTGTCCTTTTCACTCAGTAAGATATGAGTCTACATAAAATACTTGCTCTGAAAGAAAAGAGACTTGGGAACTAGAAAACAAGTCAGTCTTTTAACTGAGTAACAAAACACGATTGTATGCTTGAGGACAGATTTTGACACCGGTCTTGAATCCACAAATCTTCCATATTTTGACATCCTCCTGGCACAGAATGGAAAAGGAACATCTAATACAGCTTCTGAAAGAATGCTTTTCTGCTGGGGATCTTGTTCAGCACACCAGCTGTCACCTGAAGATTCCAGATTCATCATAACTTCAGTGTATCAGTAAATCTGTTGATTTTGAACCCATAAGGTCTATTGCAATTGCCTTACTTAATCTTTTATATACTGCAGTTCATGGGATTTCCATTAAATAATGCTTATTTGAAATGGACTCTATATTTTAGGAGGAAAAAAAAAATCTGATTATGATTTAAAAATACAGACTTTTTAAAAAGAACTGTCCCTTTATCTTTGTGTTCTCAGTGCACGTCTAAGCCACATACTTAACAACCCCTTACTTTAGTGCCCTTTCAGTCCCCAGTAAAACTTTCTGATAATATTGTTGCAAGAGCATAATACCTAATGTCTTTATGTGACTTATTATTAATTAAGCTGAAATAAAATTCTTATTTGCTAATGTAGTGGTTCTGGAGTGTTCAATCAGGTAGTTGTTACTGTCTTTGTCTTTATATCTTTCTCTGTGATTGCATTTCTGGAGAATAGCTTTGTTTCAGGTAACAAATGTTATACTTTTAAGACAAACAGGGAGTGAGACAAATAACTTAGTGAGTTCCTGACAATACTTGCACATCTTTTGTACTGAAAAATGTGAAACCATTAAATATACCATACAGTACACAATTGTAGGCAGGACAGAGAGTGCTGGCTTATTGGTTGTTGCATTTTTTTTTAATTTTATTTTTCCCCCACTTGTTTTGGAATTAATATTGTACCCAGGACTCCAGTGAAACAGTACAAATAAAAATTCAATGTTTTCCAAATAAAATAGTCTTTAATTGTTTTTCTCAGTAAAGACTTCTTCCACCTCCACACTAATAAGCATTCTTCTGTGCTTCAACTAGCTACCCACTCACTTTCTCTCTTTAAAGAATTGGCTGTCCCAATTACCATTGAGAATTTTCAGTCTCTCATTAAATTTCAATCAGCAGGCAATTTAATAAGGTGGTTATCAGCGTAAAATTACAGAAAATGACCTTTCGAAAGTGTATCTTACAAATTTGGATACTCTGTTCTATCAAACATATTTTTAGTGTTCTGTTAGTTTACACTTATCATTAAAAAAAAGGAAAAAAAAAAAGTGACTTGTAGACAGCACTGGTTATATGTTAAAAAGTACAGAAATATATTTTCCTATATATTATTTATCTTAAATCTAAAGTGTCAGCTCTTGCATGACAAGCAAATAGGAAATTTCCTCCTCCCTTCCTTCCCTCCTGTTTGGACAAGTTTCAATCAAAGATGGAGCTGCCTGAGGGTGTGGGATGTTGGCTACATTATCCTTCTTCAGCTGAAAGTCACATCCTGTTTCTTATTTTTTTCCCCTACTCAGAGTATCATCTCCCATAGCTTGCAAAGAAGGAACCGCCTTGCAGACGGAGGTTTTAGGCTCTGGGCTGTGACTCAGCCCATCCCCGTGGGCGGTGGGAGCGGAGCTGAGGTGTTCGTGGGAGCTGAAGAGAGCGGAGGCGGCAGCGACTCCGCAGGTGGCTGTAAGGCTCCGTGGGCTCTGCCCCATGCCTGGGGACACGCTGGCTCCAGCAGCTTTTAGAGAGCCCTTTTCCAGAAGTGCCTGCAGATTTAATGTGTCCCTCTGTCAAAAAGCGTGCTTAAACTAGGGCCAGTAGATGGACTAGGAAAGCTGCCAGGCTGAAGTGAGTTTTTTGCTGGCACAGCGGGGTCTAGCATGGCAGAATTGTAAGGAAGCAGGCTGAGCCATCCTGTGTGATTGCTGCCTGCCTTCGCCAGGAGTCAGTAAATCATAGCTACCCTAATACAGATGAGACATTGCTAACTTACCTTTTAGTTTAGCAAATTTAGTTGCCTGAAAAACCAAGATCTGTACTTCCATTCTATTCAGATCTGGGCTGGGTTTTTTTGTTTTCTTTTGGTTTTTGTTTGTTTGGTTTGGTTTTGGCTTTTTTTTTTTTTTTTCTTTAACTTGTTCATGAATATAAGCATGCGTATAGAATCATAGAACTATTCAGGTTGGAAAAGTCCCTTGAGATCACCAAGTCCAACCATCATCCCTACTCGACAATGTTCTCCTGTAAACCATATCCTCCAACAAATGAATTTGCAGACTGACTCTTAGATTAAAACCCTAAAGTAGCTGAGACATGGGCTTTTTATGGGTACTCTAGGCTAGTAAAAGCTGTCTACTCATGTGCCATATGGAGGCTCTGTATCTAGATTCTGCTTTATACGAGGTGAATGGCAAACTGGAAAGGTAGGATTTCACTTCTGAGAGAGTACAGCTATGGCCTCTTCTCTAACATTAATGTAAATTGGATGTATGCCCTGGAATATAAGATCCAGTGTATTTTCTATTTCTTTCTTAGACACTATCAGGGTCTGAGGATCTAAATATTTCATGTTGTATTACATTGAGTTATGTAGTCCAATATTACTTAGCACTGTCAGCCAGAGGGGAAGAGATGACGTTCTTTTCTGTGCATGCTGATCTCTGAATTCCTTTAACGTCATCATCATACATTTCCTCAAATAGGCCTCTCACGTATCTGTATCAGAAATGCAAAAGTATTTATGTCATGGAGGCAGGACTCCAAGTACATTGTAAGAGAGGTAACTTAAAGATTTTATTGCTATAGCAGTTCTTCCATTTTCATGATGAAATCTGAGTCAGTTCATTGTTGGAAAAGAATACCAGTTTCATGAAATCAGAATTAATGAAGATACCCCAATTTCTTCCCTCTTTGGATTACAGAATTTAACAAAGAATACTGTGCCAAAATTTGCCATCCAAGTTCTACCGTTTCATATTTCCCAAGTGCACATACAGGAAGAATGTTTGTCAGGGAAGCAGTATTTAATACTCTTTCTTTCACAGTTATTGAATAACAAAAATTTTCAGCAAAAGGAACCTCAGGAGAGAGGCCAAACTTGAGAGCAACTAAGTGGAAATTAAAAACCAAAAGAGAAAACTTTCAATGACAATTTGCCTAAAGAGAAGTGGATTATCTTTGCTGTCTCCTGGATTGAAAATCACTTTTACAAAATATGAAACCAGAACATTAAGATACTAACCGCTGATACTCACATAATAATGCAATCTCATAAATATTTTAGGATTATACTTTGAGCTGTTGTCTCTAAGCAACACATCAGGCAGTGTTGCTCTGTTTCATGTGACTATAAAATGTATACATTTTTTTTCACCTAAATAGTGAAGTTGCTAAAACCTTTGAAGACATCTATGTTGAATGGTGGATTAGTTGATAAAAGCCAGAAGATTGATATCTGATTTTTTTGACTCCTCCATATGAGACTCGGCTGGGAACACTGCTCATCAAAACCTCACATTGACATGGGGAAAAAAAAAGGTAAGATTAAGAAACAGTATGCTTTTAATATCTTACAGCACCTAAAATTACCAAAAAGTTATTTAAAAAAGGATACTCTGTTCTGTAGGGTGTGGTCTTAAGAACATATCTTTATCCTTATCCAGAGATGTGAAATAATGAGTGTATAACAAGAGATGAATTGAAAAAAGGTCTGGAGGGAAGTTTACAGATGTCCTAGTCATGAGAAACTTTGCAAAAAGCTGGTGAAGCTGCCCACAGATTGGAAGCTGTGAGAAATCTGAAATGCCATGGATGACTATGGCGCTGCTTAAATTTGCTGAGGTTAATGGGCTGCATGGTAGGTATGAAGAATGTCACTTCACTGCACTGCTTTTGCAGAACAGTTTTCCTCTTCTAATAATGTTAATTATCAAGCATGTGTATTCTGAAACAACATAATGGATGCTGCAGTTCCATTTGCGAAAACACTTGAAATTTATCAGTGCTGGTGAGGGAGAGCATGCTGCTTAAATCTGCTGTACGTACTTAATTTTATATTGTGCATAATATATCACTACTTCATATACACTTTTTTGTTTACATGCTGATAGAACATCACATTTTTCTTCTGCACATTAGGACATACAGTAAAAAAATGTCCCCACTTTTGTTATAGTCAAGAATGCAGAGTGCCCCATATCCAATGCCTCCATTATTTTAGAAAACAAATTAAGGCTTTCTTCAGCCTAGTGAGTATTCTTGAAGCAAATCAGTCTGATCTTCAATATCTGAAAGTTTCTAATTACTGGGTTTTTTTCCCAACAGGTCTCCTGTCTTCTGTAACCTTGTAATTTGGACTAAATCAAGACTAAGGCAAACTTAACCAGATGTTACGCAACTACTGGCATGGGCAGAAGACCTGGGTAGGTGGCAACAGCTACAGAGAGTAGAGTTCTACATGAAGAACACTCTTAACTTGTACTTCTTCCCTTCTTTTCTGGGAAATGTAGAGGAGAGACTTTCAGTTCAATCTTGGATATGCAAATATGTATGTCTTAATAAAGGCCACTGAAAATTTGTCAGTTTTGGTATTTTGTTCTTGCTGCTATGAACAGATGAAGTCAGTGGACAAAGACCCATTTCACTGATGAACATCACAAAGTACTTTTTACAAATTATAAGATTTAATCAAATATTTGTTGTCTCTATGAAGACTTACTATTCTATGATTTGATTTATTCCTGAAACTTTACCAGTGCCCCCTCACCCCATATAATTGATGCTTATTGTGTGGGATGTCTCCCCACCACATAAACCACTTTCAACTGACTAAAATGTTTGGGATTGAGAAGAATTCTTAATTTACTATAATGACAGCAGAGTTTATAACATAATACACATTGACTACACCTCACTATTTCAGGAGCTAAAGATCCCTTTTTCTGTAATGTGTAAATCCTACCAGATTCTGGCAGATTCAAAGGTTAAGTAAAAGTTCTGTTATTTGAGGTGCATTTAGCCATTTCTGAAATATTGCAAATAAAACATGCCCTGCAATCGAGGAAGCATTGATTTGGAGACAAGTGCTTGAAGATGTGCTCTACTATTCATTGCTCTGAGGTACCAAATTACAGAAATCCCTATAATGTTCCACTCCCTTATGCCTATCGCTAACAAACTGTTTTATAAAAGGCTTAAATTAGTAATATTAAAGCAATAAAATTCACAGCTATTGTTCGGCTCCTTATTCTAATAATGTCCGTCCTGCAAGTACTTTCAACTTTGATAATGGACAACATTCTGTCCCAATGGTGGTGTTGCAAACAAGGGCACAATAGTTATACATGTTAACAGATTGGTTTAAGGATGTACGAATGCACCTCACAATAATGGTGGATATAGAAAAGGTGAAAATAATCATTCAGGAGGAAATGTGGAAGCTGTTGTTAATTATGCCTAAAGCGCTGCAATTGAGGAAGAATCGTATTGGGTGCTCCATATGCTTGTTCTCAGTGAATGTGTGGTTTTGGCTTCCTATGAATGGTCTGCCTGCAAAGGAAAAAAGCAACAAAAATGCAATTTTGTTTTTGGAACTGAGAAATATCTTAGAGCCTTTTACACACACACTTTTTGAAAATGTCTTTTTAAGCCACAGTGGCTTGAACTCAGTCTTCTGTGACTCATATCTGAAGTTGTTTTGAGTTAGAAGAATAGATATCTTGCTTTATACCGGCTGGAAATTATCTTATTGCTGGTGGTGTCTGTAAGATTAATCCAGTCCCTGAAAAATGTCATTGTAATAGATAGAAATCTTTTCCATTTTGCTGTTTTCAGAAAAAAAAAAAAGTCATTTTCTAAGCCTAGTAAGGCTTGTCTTGCCACCTCATTTAGAAGGGTGGCCCCATTAACACTCCTTACGTGGGAAGTATGAGCTAAAGCTACTGCTGCTGTCAGTGCTCTATTGGGCAAAAGAGGGCCAAGAGTCTGGAAAGTACAGGCTCAGTTTCCCTTTCATTATCATTGTAAGTATGTATGGTCTCTAATGGGGCTCTGCAGGGAAAAATGTTCCCTTTCCAAATTGCATTAGCCCAGAGCTCTTGCATCTCTGCTGCAGACCCTCAGCCCCCTTGCTGGACTGGGCATCCCTGCCTGCCCTGATCTCTGCGCCTGCTGTGGCCAACGCTTCACCTCTGTGCTTTCCTCTTGAACTCCTCAAAGCCAAACAGATGATAGGTACAATTCTTCTTTGAAGGAATGAAAGGGTAATCATAAAAAATGTGGGATTACCAAAGCATTCATCAGAACTCTGTGCTGTAAAACTTGTGATTGAAACAATCAAATGTAACCTTTCTTTTTACTCCCTGTTGCCTGTATTGCATGTGCTGTCACTGCAGTTCAGTCAGTGACTACGTTGTGCTTCACAGTCATGCTACAGTCATTGCTAAGAGTTGAACCCTGGAAGTCGTGTCTGTGTCACCAGATTCAAGAAGGCTATGCTAGGTCGAAATGTGTTTGGTGTTCAAACCGGTGCTTAGGGAAAATCCCATCAAACAAGTTAATGTTCAGTGTGAGAGTTCAGAAATGAGCTATGTGTTACAAAATGCAGAAGCATACCTATTAATTTAGTAGGTTTTGAATTCTAGGAAGTTAAATGGTAGGAAAATTATTAAGTCCTTACTGTTATCTGCACACAAAGTGTAATGTAATATGCCAT